AAAAGTTCGACTAAAAGGTGAAAGAGGGATGAAATGGGTCGTCTCAGATGATAGCTGGTGATTGAATAACCAACATTTTAACGATGCAGCGGTCAATAATCATATATTGTTGGTCTCATTGTATTTACCTACTTTACGATGTTCTGTTCCAGGTGCAAATGAAAAACAGATAATATGGCGGCGGATAACGATGAACAGAATTTTAAAATGACAAAAATGATAAAGATATGTTTGATGGTGATGATGACAAAAATAGTAAAGATGATGATACTGCTGATGATGCTGATATGGAGAATGTGGATGAGCGTGAATCACTGGACAATGATGTGGACAATGAGGATCCCGGACAAACTGAAGAACATCGAAATGATGGTAATGATAATGAAAACAAATCAGAGGACGATATGGAACATGTTATGAACGAGAAACTAGATGAGGATGACAATCAATCGAATGATGATGTTGGTGAGGAAGCGATAACAGAAGTGACTGAAAAAGATGAAAAGGAGATGCAAGGAGATTCCCTGGTATTCATTTATTATGATATTTTAAATATTTAAGACATGCGTGGATTGTTAAACAATGTTTAAAAAACGCAGTTAAGTTATAGCACCTCTGTAAATCGCTCATATTACCTTTCCTGAAATTTTTGGAATGGTAAGTGTGTTTTTTTTCATTCTTTTCAAACTGTTGATTATGATTTTTCAGTTTTCGAACTTGGATTTTATTCCAAAACATCTGAAACTTCGAGTTCCAATATATGGATGAACTTTTATGCTTTATATTTGTTCTGGAAATGGTTATTCATACATTTTTCGAGTTTCATTTGTTATCTGCTTGTTTTTAGAACGAAACAAATGATGCTAATCTGGAAGAGTTAAACAAAGATGATGAAGAAATTCTGAAAGGCGGTGCCGGAGGAATGGATAGAGGAGCAATGGAGGATACAATGGACAAAGAATCTATTTCAAATCCGAACGTTGTGAATGAGAACGATGAGAATATGAAAGAGGAGTATG